ATTTTCCAGAACTAGACCCATAGGCTTGAATGTTCCCAAGTATTTTTTTTAAAGGTTCTGAAGTTTCCTGCCTCAACTACCCTCCTAGGCAGTGAATTCTAGAATCCTACCATCCTCTTGGTAAAAATTGTTTTCTCACGTCACTAAATCACCTGCCTTTCACTGGAAAATTATCATTGACCCTTTATATTTAAGGCAGATGTAGATTCTTGATCATTAGGAGAATTATAGTTTAAAGGGTCAAGGCTGGAAAAGGGATGTAAGGAATGTTGGATCAGCCATGGCCCTGTTGAATGATGTGGAGGTGCTGGTGTTGGGCTCGGGTGGACAAGGTCAGTGTTCTCAACAGTGACTTGAAAGGAATTCAGGGATTTGCATATTAATCAGTTAAAACCTTCTAACTGATTAAAGATTTAACACCATCTTAGGTTTGTTTAATACATCCTCATTAGTGGTGTGACCCTTTTGATCTTTTACTTATAAATTCTGTGTCTGATACTACCACTTTCACTAACATCTGAAGAAGGAGTGAAGCTCTGAAAGCTTGTGTTTTCAAATAAAATTGTTGGACTATAACCTTGTGTCATGTAATTTCTGACCTTGATCCTTTTGAATGGCGGAGCAGGCTTGAGGACGAAACAGCCTATTCCAGTTCCTAATTCTTACGGTCTGCAATCAGGCCCCCACTCAATAATCTCTGCTCCAAAGAAAGCAACCTGAACTTACCTAGCCTCTCTTTGTAACTGTGCTGCTCAATCCTCATGAATCTCCTCTGCATGAAAAGGAAGGGAATAGAGGGAAACGGATCGTGTAAGTGAAGACTGTTTTTGTACGGAAGAGCAAAATGTGTCAGTGCAGGCTTGGAAGGCCGAAGGGCCTGTTCCTATGCTGTATTGCTCTTTGTATTTTATCCAATGCAACCATATCCTTCATATAACTAATCCAAAGGTCTTTAATCCTCAGTAAATAGACCTGGCATCTAACTGTGGTCTCAGCTTAAACGAGTTTTACACCAGATCTTTCATTCTCACTTTGTCTAACTCAGATACTCGGTTCAGTTCTTTTGGTCATTTTGTACGTTTCAGTCAATTCTCCCTGCGTTTTTAGTGTAAATTGTTTGCTTCTTGAACTTAATTAATGTTTGAAGGCTTATGAACTTTAATATGTTGAATAATATATTAAGGGGGAAGCAATGGCCGAGTAGTATTATCACTAGACCATTGATCCAGAAACTCAGCTAGTATTCTGGGATCCTAGGTTCAAATCCTGCCATGGCAGATGGTGGAATTTGAATTCAATTTTCTAAAAAACCTCCAGAATTAATGATCTAATGATCATGAAATCATTATCGATCTTCCGAAAAACCCACCTGGTTCATTAATATCCTTTAGGGAAGGAGACGTCCAGACCAGATAAGGATGGCAAACATGTGACTCCAGACCTGCAGCAATGTGGTTGACTCTTAACTGCCCTATGCGCAATAAGGGATGGACGAGTAATGCTAACCTAGGTAGAGACATGCACATCCCCTGAATGAATTTTGAAAATGGGACTAGTAGATTTAACTTTTTTTGACAGTAAAGACTTGATGGGCCAAATGCCCTCTTCTGCACTGTATGATTCCATGATTTGTGATGTCGCAGCACAGATTTGCAGCTGTTATGATGATCTTGGACGTGAATGCGTGTACGCGCAGAAGGTACAATGTATTTCATCAGGCCAGTACTACTAACCAAAACGGTATTTTGGCTAGTCTTCAGGGGAGGAGAGGTTTGCTCTTCTAAACTTATGTTTTAGGATCTCTATCTGTTGCCATTTGCGGAGACCAAATTAGATACACTTATAAGATAGAATGTCCCCAAAGTATTTGTGTGTGTGAGAGAGAGAGAGGTTAGCAGTGATAATGATTTTGGCCGATGTGGAGGTTAAAGTGCAATGTATGCATGTAGTACTGCTTAAGCAAGTGTTCTACATTAAGGTGCAATGAGCATATCTTCATTTTCTAAAATTCTGTTTGATGAGCAGCTGAGTTATGCTTTCTAGACATTCCTAAAGGTGAACATTTTTCATTTCACATAAAAGCAAAATACAGAGGAACAAAGAACAGAAAATTACAGCACAGGAACAGGCCCTTCGGCCATCCAAGCCTGCGCTGATCCAGATCCTACATCTAAGGAAGTCGTTTAAGAGGGTCCTGAGGGACAGGACTTGCATGTATTTGGAAAGGCAAGGATTGATTAGGAATGGTCAACATGGCTCTGTGTGTGGGAAATCATGTCTCACTAACTTAATTGAGTTTTTCAAAAGAAGCAATGAAGAAGATTGATGAGGGAAGAGCGGTGTGCTTAATTAAGATGTTCGACAAGCGTCAGCGTTGTAGACTTGCTAGCAAGGTTCGATCACATGGAATACAGGGAGAACTAGCCATTTGGATACAGAACTGGCTTGATGGTGGGAAACAGAGGGTGGTGGTGGAGGGTTGCTTTGCAGACTGAAGGCCTGTGACCAGCGGTGTGCCATAAGGTGCTGAGTCCACTGTCTTTTGTCATTTATATAAATGATTTGAATGTGAATATAGGAAGTATGGTTAATAAGTTAGTACATGACACCAAAATTGGTGGTGTACTGGACAGTGCAGAAGGTCACCTCATAATACAACAGAATCTTGATCAGCTGAGTTGGTGGACTGAGCAGTGGCATTTAGATAAATGTGAGGTTGCTGGATTTTTTGAAAGGCAAATCAGGGCAGGACTTGTACACTTAATGGTAAGGTCCTGGGGAGTGTTACTGAACGCAGAGACCTTGGAGTGCATGTTCATAGTACCTTGAAAGTAGAGTGGTAGACAGACTGAATTGTGAAGGTGTGTTTGGTATGCTTCCATTTTATTGGTCAGTGTGTTGAGTATAGGAGTTGGGAGGTCATGTGCCTGTACAGGACTTTGGTTATGCCAGTTTTAGAATACTGTGTTCAATTCTGGTCTCCTTTCCTGTAACAGGATGTTGTGAAACTTGGAAGTGTTCAGAAAAGATTCACAAGGATGTTGCCAGAGTTGGAGGGTTTGAGAACAAAGAACAAAGAAAATTACAGCACAGGAACAGGCCCTCCGAGTCTGCGCCGATCCAGATCCTCTATCTAAACCCGTCGCCTATTTTCCAAGGATCTGTATCCCTCTGCTCCCTGCGCATTCATGTATCTGTCTAGATACATCTTAAATGACGCTATCGTGCTCTCCTCTACCACCTCCGCTGGCAACGCGTTCCAGGCACCCCACCACTCTCTGCGTAAAGAAGTTTCCACGCATATCTCCCTTAAACTTTTCCCTTCTCACCTTGAAATCGTGACCCCTAGTAATTGAGTCCCCCGCTCTGGAGAAAAGCTTCTTGCTATCCACTCTGTCTATACCTCTCATGATTTTGTAGACCTCAATCTGGCCCCCCCCCAACCTCCGTCTTTCTAATGTAAATAATCCTAATCTACTCAGCCTCACTTCGTAGCTAGCACCCTCCATACTAGGCAACATCCTGGTGAACCTTCTTTGCACCCCGTCCAAAGCATCCACATCGTTTTGGTATGTGGCGACCAGAACTGTGCGCAGTATTCCAAATGTGGTCGAACCAAAGTCCTATACAACTGTAACATGACCTGCCAACTCTTGTACTCCATACCCCGTTCGATGAATGAAAGCATGCCGTATGCCTCCTTGACCACTCTATCGACCTGTGTTGCCACCTTCAGGGTACAATGGACCTGAACACCCAGATCTCTCGGTGTATCAATTTTCCCCAGGGCTTTTCCATTCCCCATATGAGATATGGGGGAGGCTAAATAGCTGGGGCTTTTTACCCTGGAGCGTCGGAGGCTTAGGGGTAACCTTGTCGAGGTTTATAAAGTCATGAGGGGGGGCGTGGAAACGGTGAACAGCCAAGGTCTTTATCCCAGGGTAGTGGAGTCCAAAACTAGAGGGCATAGGTTTAAGATGAGAGGAGAAAGATTTAAAATGACCTAAGGGCTAACTTTTTCATGCAGAGGGTGGTGCATGTATGGAATGTGCTGCTAGAGGAAGGGGTGGAGGCTGGTACAATTACAACATTTTAAAAGGCATCTGGATGCGTGTATGAATAAGAAGGGTTTAGAGGGATATGGGCCAATTGCTGGCAAATGGGACATCTGGTCGACATGGACGAGTTAGACCAAAGGATCTGTTTCCTTGCTGTACATCTCTGACTATCTAATTTTAAACAAAAACAAAGTTCTAGAGAAACTCAGCAGGTTTTCTAATTCTGCCAGTATGTGTGGAGAGATAGGCAGAGTTAACAATGAGACCAATATGGCTATCCATTGAAACATTGCCTCTGTTTCTCTCCCCACAGATGCTGTCAGCCCTCCTGAGCTTCTTCAGCGCTTTAAAGAAGCAGTGAGATAACAGAAATAGTTTTATGTTTAAATTTCCTTACAAGCTATCCTGGAGTTTGAGTTTGTGTTTAATATTGTAGCTGTATTTATTGTATTTTAAGCAAAATTTTGATTGGCAGTCGTGTTATGAATGTGATACCTTTAGGAAAGTATATTGGTATTCCAGCTATTTAACCCATTCAGGACAATCAGTGCTGCCAGTTTGAACAGTACTGGTTAATCATTAGGTATGTTTTCACTTTTCGGTACTGACTATTCTAGTTTTAGCATTTCCTACTTTTATTTCAAATACTCATCTAGTTTTATTTTCTATTGTTTAGTATGGTGAGCAGCAGAAGTCTTGAAACGATAATTTCACCAGTTCAAAATCCTCACTTAGGGCGAGAGTTTAATTATAAACTTTTGATTCATTTAACAGAAAACTTTTGAATACTTGAAGCAAGGAAGGATTATAGGGTTGTTGCAATTAGTTTTTGGATAGCTTTAGCTAGCGTTGCCACATTGGCCCTCTACAAAAGATATTTCCAGCTTAGCTAGAAATTGTGAAATGGCTGGTACTGATGGACTGATTTCTTTTTTGTTGCAGCATCTGGGAGATGTGAAGTGAGACTGGCTGGGAACTAGACTGAAGTATCTGTGTGTAGACACGATAATTTCTACACCTTCAGGATGAATGGGGATATGCCTCATGTTCCCATCACCACACTTGCTGGGATTGCTAGCCTCACTGATTGTAAGTACTGAATTTTATTGCTTATCCATATATTACAGGCTTATGAAAGTCTTGTGTTCATGTTGTGTTTCTACAGTTTGTAGTTTTACCAGCCCATAGGGCTGCTGTCAGAGAGAAAACTGTTGAAGGGAAAGATTCAGGAGAGTCCTTCATGGTAACCTCTGTCAGTGAGGGAATTGAACGTATGCTGCTGGCATCATGCTGGATTGCAAACCAGCTATCCAGCCAATGGAGTTAACTGCCCTCCCCCAGAAACAGTCATTTGATAAAGTAGAGCTTGAGTATGGCTAAAAATAAGTCTATTTTGACACAACTTTTTGTCTTGCGCTCATTAGAACTTTTCATGAATGCAAATTGCAGACAGGAAGACCATGTGCACACATGGTGTATTTTTCAACTCTGAAATAAATAAATCAGCAAATAGCTGTGACCTATCAGGGCAATATCCCTAACCATTTGGGCAACTTGTCTGGTTTAAAATTTAAAGCATGGCTGTTAAATGTCAATCGGCATTATTGGACTTTTTATTTAAGTTCACAAGTTTCAGTGGGTGATCCCTTGTATGGAGGAATGGTCTTATGAACAAAGGTTAAATGGTTTGGAACTTTTCTCACTGTAATTTGGATGATTGAGAAGTGATCTCATTGAAACATTTAGGGTTCTTATTGCCAATTGACATTTAACAACCATGTTTTGTTTAGGGTTCTTGACAGGGTAAATACAGAGAGGATGTTTTTTCTCATGGGTGAGTCTAGGACTGGGGGCATAGTCTTAAATTGGCACGCCTTAATTCTGAGACTGAGATAAGGAGGAGTTTCTTTTCCGATGGTTGAGGGTCTTTGGAAGTCCTTGCCATAGAGAGCTGTGGGGACAGAGCCCTTGTGTGGCATTAAGATTGAGATAGATTTTGGATCAGTAGGGGAATTGAGTGTTATAGGGAAAAAAGCAGGAAAGTTGTCTTAAGGAATGTCAGGTCAGCCATGATCATGTTGAATGATGGAGCACGCTTGAAGACCTGAAAAGCCTACTGATACTATTTCTTTTGGTTTTATTGGTTCATTCCCTACACCAATCAGCAACATCTCTACCAACCAGAGTCTGCTTGTGAACCAATCAGCATGCTTATCTTATGCGTATAAATGTTGGTTTTCCTATTGAATTTGTATTCTTGCAACATACTCTGATCGCAAACAGAAGAACTTCAATAAGGCATTTTTTTTTTAGTTAACTGTGAGTTTACATAGAACATGTTTGAGCCATGACTAAAACTGAGATTGTGGAGCTGCGGTCGAGGGCGTTTTCGACCTCTTTGGAGGGGAAGTTCCGGCCATTGAAAAATGAGGACATCTGGGATGTCAGGGAGTGGAACGCCTCATCTTGGGAGCAGATGAAGTGGAGGCAAAGGAATTGGGAATAGGGGATAGCATTCTTGCAGGAAGGTGGGTTAGAGGAGGTGTATTCTAGGTAGCTGTGGGAGTCAATGGGCTTGAAATAGGGAAGGAAATCTGCCATCCTTACCTGGTCTGGTCTACATGTGACTCCAGACCCACAGCAATGTGGTTGACTCTGAACTGTCCTCTGGGCAATTACGGATGGGCAATAAACGCTGCCTAGCAGCGATGCCCTCATCCCGTGAATGAATAAAAAAAATGTCGATCTGTCAGTTGTGCACTTGATGTTTTGATAAAACAGTGCTTTGTACCAAAATGTTGGAGAAATGTGATGGCTGAGGGATCACTTATGTTTTACAGTTACCCATCTTTAAGTATTTTGGCAGTGTAGCTAGAAATTCATGAGGTGATTAAAGGTAGTGGGTAAATCTTCCTATATCCAACATGTGTGAAATTTTACACGCACCCATTGAGATGTCTCTCTTGCTTTTGTAGATTTCATTTGTACAGATCAAGACGTATGTCCTTTTAGGATGGTTTGCTGGTTATACTGTGAAGGGATCAAACTAAGGAGAGTTAGGGAGAGGAGGAAAAAGTGAGCAAGAGGAAGTTCATGAGAGTCAAAGTTAGAAAAAATTGAAAATAATAAAATAACATATCTAATTAAGCAGTATCTCTGGAGAGAATTAAAATTTTGCGTTTGACCTTTCCTCAGAGCACAAGGAAAGTGAACGTATCCCATCCCAAAGTAACACAACTAATCCCCATCACCTTTTCCTTCCTACCTAACCTTTCAAAAAGTCACATAACCCTTGAATGTTTAGTTTGCACCTTAATGTCCCTGTAACCATGTCTTTATCATGCAGTGTAATGTAATTAAATGTGAGGTTATCCATATTGGTGACAGTTTAGGAAAGGTGAGGTGCAATGAGACCTAGGTGTCGTGTTGGAGCAGTCACTGAAGGTGCAGCAGGCAGTGGGGAAAGCTAATGGCATGCTGGCCTTCATAGCGAGAGAAATAGAATACGGAGTAGGGATATCTTGCTGCAGCTACACAGGGCCTTGGTGAGGCAACACCTTGAGTATTGTGTGCATGGTGGCTCAGTGGTTACCACTGTTCCCTTACAGTGCCAGGGAGACCCGGGTTCGCTTCTACTGTCGGGTGACTGTCCGTGTGGAGTTTGCACATTCTCCCCGTGTCTGCATGGGTTTCCTCCGGGTGCTCTGGTTTCCTTCCACAGTCCAAAGTATGCAGGCTAGGTGGACTGGCCATGCTAAATTGCCCGTAGTGTTCAGGGATGTGTAGATTAGATGGGTTATAGGGGGATGGATCTGGGTGGGATGCTCTGAAGGTCGGTGTGAACTTGTTGGGCTGAAAGGCCTGTTTCCACACTGTAGGGATTCTATGATTCTGGTCATCTAGTGTGAGGATGGACGTTCCTGCTATTGACAGAGTCCAACGAAGGTCCACCAGACTGATTCCTGGGTTGGCAGGACTGTCATGTAAAGAAAGATTGGGCATGTGTGCACCGGAATTTCAAAGAATGAGGGGGGATCTCCTAGAAATATATAGAATCCTGATGGGACTGGACAGGCTAGATGCAGGAAAAACGTTCCCAGTGTTGAAGTCCAGAACTAGGGGTCACAGTCTAGGAGAAAAGAGTTAAGCTGTTCATGACTGAGGTGAGGAAGAATTTCTTCACTCAGTTCTGAACCTGTGGAATTCTCTCCCACAGAAAGCTATTGGGCCCAGTTCATTAGATACATTCAAGAGGGAGCCGGATGTGGCCCTTGCAGCTGAAGGGATTAAGGGCTATGGAGAGAAAGCAAGAACGGATACTGAAATTGCATGATCAACCATGATTATATTGAATGGTGATTCATGCTCGAAGGTCCGAATGGCCCTTTCCTAAACCTAAATTCTATGTTTCTATGTTAATTGTAAATGAATCAGGATGTTAGTATGCAGGTGGAGCAAGGAATCAGGACAGCTAATAGATGTTATGTTTTATTGTAAGGGGAGCTGAATTGCAAGACTAAGGAGGCTATGCTGCAATTATACTGGGCATTGATGACAGCACACCTAAAGTACAGTGCTTGCCACTGTACTTGCAGCAGAATGTTAACATATTGAAAGCAGTTCAATACCTGGAATAAGCAGATTACCTTGTGTGGAAAGGCTGGACAGGGTGGGCATTTATTCTCGAGTTTGAAAGAGTCAGAGTTGACTAAATTGAAACATAAGATCCTGAGGGGACTTGATTGCAAGGATGTTACCTCCTGGGAGAATCTAGAACAGTGGTTCAAAGCTTTTTAAAAAAAACACAAGGGCTTACCCATTGAAGGCAGAGGAGAACTTTCTTTTTTGAGGCGTGGTTGTCTTTGGAATTCCCTTCCTCAAAAGGCAGGGAATGCAGAATATCCAAATATTTTTAAGGAAGAGGTGGGTAAATTCTTGATTACCAGGGAGATTAAATATTATCCGGGGTATGCAGGAATGTAGAGTTTAGCTTAAAATCAGATCACCCATGACCTTGAGTGGCAGTGCAGGCTAGAAGAACCGAGTAGCAAATTTGTGTTCTTTGTATACAAGATTGCTAGCTTTTCTTTTTAATTTGCTTATGGCATGTTGGCGCTGCTGAGTGGCCAGCATTTATTGCCTGTCCATCAGTGTCCTTGAGAAGGTGATGTGAGCTGCCTGCTTAGACTGCAGCAGTCCATATTCTGTAAGTAGCCCTGCGATACCCATAGGGAGGGAATTCCAGAATTTTGACATGGTAACAGTGAACATCACCAGTGTCTCCATAATTTCCTCAGTGATTGGTGTAGTCTGTCTAGTCCGCATGATTTATCTACTTCAGAACCTTCATCTTCCCCAGCTCTTTCTGCTTAGTGATGGCCTCTATACTCACTTCTGTCTTCTGACTCTTTTTGAAGGTCTGCTTCTGGTGTCTTCCACCATGAACATTGACGCAAGGTACCTATTCAGTTCCTCTGCCATTTCTTTGTTCCCCATTATTACATCTCCAGCTTCAGTTTCCAGAGGTCCAATGTCCACTTTGGCCTCTCTCTGACTTAAAAACGTCTTTTAAATAGTCTTGCAATTTTCCTTTATATTCTTAGCTAACTTACCTTCATGTTTTATCTTCTCCCCACTTATTAATTTTTCAGTTGTCTCTGCTGATTTTTAAACACTTGCTAAACCTCTGGCTTGCCCTTGAGAAGGTAGTGGTGAGCTGTGTTGTTGAACTGCTGCAGTCCTGGGGTGAAGGTATACCCATTATGCCTTTAGGGAGGGAACACAAGGATTTTGAAGAAAAGTTGATCTGTTTCTAAGTCACGATGGAGTGTGAACTGCAGATGGTGGGGATCCAGCCTATGAATGTCATGAAGGACGGTAATGTTAAACCAGGAAACTGCAGATATGAAAATCTTCAACTATGAGGATAGATTAAAGGAGTTGGGGCTGTTTTCCTTGGAGAGGAGGAGGCTGAGAGGACATTTGCTAGATGTTCTCAAAATCATGAGGGGGCTGGACAGAGTCGATGGGGACCATAGAAAGCATTCTATCTGGATGCATTACAACTTGGTATGGCAACCACTCTACCC